TATATATATATATCTCCCAATGAGGGTGGAGGGTGTGTGTTTACCTGCTGGTGTCTGTGCTCTTGGCCCTGGCCCCGCCTCCAGCCCTGCGAGAGCCACTGGAGGAGGAGGAGCCCAGCGAATCGGACGATGAACTGCTGATGCTGTCGCTGTCCTGGCCCCGCCCCCAAGACGCTGCCGCCCAACCACCTCGGAGCGGCCTCCGGCTGAGGGTGGGGGAACTGTCTGAGGTGGTCTCTGGAGCACTGCTGTCTATGCTCGCCATACCTGTCCAGACACACAGAACCCATCACATTATGTTGTCGATGTGAGTGTAACGAATGCACACAATAAGAAAAATAAATCTCTGTAATAGCAAAACCCCAATGCTGTATTCTAATTGTGTTTAAATTAAATTAAAAGGGCTCTACTTTATATATTTTGTGTACCAGTGTGTTTCTTCTTCTGCCGGACCGGTGAGCCCCAGCAGCGTTGGCTGTATCCACAGCGTCCCCCCAACACCAGTCGACTGGGCACCGTGGCCTCCATTTTCAACGGTGCCGTCTCGTTCTGCTGCTCAGCCGACAACTGAGGTCCCTCTAACGCTGAAGGGTCAGAGAACGGGTTTAGCCTCTATAACAGATTTGGTCATTGAAATACAAGGAATTATTTCTCACCATGCTCTCTGTTGTCAGCAGAACTCTCCCCAGCCGTGTTGTTCTGTACCAGGTTCAGCTCAGCCACCTCCTCTCCGGCCAACGCCACGACAGAAGAAGAGCTCGAAGAGGCCAACGTGTTTGGCGAGGAAGAGGACATGATGTGTTTGGCCACTCCCCCAGTGGCGCCGCCGACCCCACTGTGGTTGACAACAGGATGTTTGGATGGGCTGCGCTGGCTGCCCGCTGCCGGTTTGCTCGAGTAGAAGGAGCTCAGAGTCTGGGGCTTGTGGGTCTGACTCTCTCTGTCCAGTAACTTATCCAGAATCTGAAAACGGAAGAAAAAATGAATAGTTTTAAATGACCAAAGTAACCCCTGTGAGTTCAAACAGGATTTTGCTGCGTCTCCTGCTAGCCGGTGTAGTGAAACCAGAAGATGGTCTTTACCTTTTTGAGTTTGCTTTGGTCATCCTTATAGGTGATCATGAGGGCCAGAGCGAGGTCCCCCTTCACCCGACGAGTTCCTTCACAAAGCAAAGGATGCTCCGCCTCGCTAACTGTGGTTTTCATCCCTGCAGGGGAATGATAAAAAGAAAAACAACAAAAGTTTGTAATAAAACCTAACTAAATCTCAAATGAGGAAGTAGCAATAAAATGGTTTTACCAAGCGCAGCGACTGCAGCCTCAAAGCCCAACTCCTCATCCCCAGGCATCTCATTGTTTCGGTTACGGCTCGGCGGCCTGGAACCAGTCGGAGAAACAACTGCAGGAACAAAGAAAAGGGGGAAAAAAAACAGCATTATTTCTTCAAATTGTTTAACATAAAACTGAAACAACTCAAAACACTTAATTAACCTGAACTGTCATTCGAAGATACAAAACAATAAGCCACTATAAATGATCCGTGTAGTACTTACCTGGAGTACAGAGGACGTCAAAGATGAAACTGGCCAACATGAGAGGCAGCACTGGTCTGTAATCACACAGGTTTCCATCCCTGAGCTGCTCGGCTCGCTCTCTGATGACCGACATCTCCACCAGACCCAGGGGAATCTTCTTCAGCAGAGCCACCACCTCCGACTCCTGGTAAGCCAGCTTCACCTGCTCGRCCCACACACAGGTGTGGTCAGTAATCGTGTTCAGAACGTGCTAGGGCATATGTGAATCTGGACTGCTCGTGTGTGTGCTTTGAGTAAGCCTGACGCACCTCCAGAGCTTTAGTAGATGCGGGTGGTCTCTGGAGTTCCAGGGAGAACATCCCAGTGCTGAAGGCCAGGTTGTGGAGCTCTAGCCTTTCAGTGAGAACAGTGAGGAGGAAGGCGGCTTTGGACAGGGTGTTGGTGGCGACCTGCGTCTGACGGCTGGTCGACACCTTGCTCTTCTTACCCTAAGAGAACAGATGACCTCAGTAAATCAACTGATGCGAGCCGATCCACACAACTGTTTCAAAGCATGTGACAACAGAGGGACAGTTGAAACCTGAAAATACTCTGGATTTTAGAAGTCTGGGATGGAGGGTGGTACCTTGGTTTGTGGCTGCTCCACCTTCAGGTCAGGGGGGTTTGATAACAGGTCTCTGGCCAGCTCCACAGCCAGCTGACACGCCTCATTACTGTAGCCGTGAGCGTGGAGGGCTTCAGCACACGCAAACAGCACCTAAACACACACACAGTGTTTCATGACTTTAAAGAACATCACATTCAGTTCATCTGAAGATATAACCTCATGTATTCTTATGACCAAATATTAAAAAAATAAAAATAAAAATTGGTAAAATTCCCTTAAAGCAATCAAATTTTGAACTTCTGCACCTAATTTTTGCCATTTAATTTATATGATGTGCAATTATTTCAAGAATGGTTCAGTTAAATCAATAAGCGACAATGATTATTTATGTTTAAGCCCATGATGGGTGGAAAGCAGCACTGCAGCTGTACGTTCTCAAGTCAAACAGCTCAAAGAATTATTTAATCCAAGGGATTATTTGATGTTGTATACTGTTGTAAATAATTTTTTTTATTATCTGATTCATGGCACATTTCAGAGGACTTTTGGATGAAAGCATTTCCTTATATTTCCAGTAATGTCTGTGTTTGCAGTTATAAGTTGCTCTGATTTATTGTATTTTGCTGCCTTCAGTCTTTCTTCCTTACCTCCATGCGTCCTGCGTTCTCGAGCGGTTTAATCCCTGCAAAGATATCCGGTTCCTCCACCTGGTGGCTGTCAGCCAGCTGTTTGTCTGCTCCTTCCTCTGAGGCAGCTCCGAGGTAGTACGCCTGATAGTCGTCTTCACCCACAGCTTCTCCCTCAGAAACTTCCCCTGTGGCTTCAGCACCTTGCAGTCTGACTGCTCCACACTCTGCTGCTGCTGCTTCCCCGTGGCCCTGTGGTGTTTTGTCAGCAGCCTGAGGGCTGCCGGATCTCGCCGTGCAGGTGGAAGGCTGGTGACCCGTTCCTGAGTCGACGTCCTCGTCTCTGCTGTGGACGTGCTCCGCCTCCATCTTTGCTTCTTGCTCTGCGGTGCTGAGAATGTCCATAACCTCCCGGTTCTCCTCGGAGGCGAAGCGGGGCGGAGCGGGCTCGGCGGCAGCTGGCGCAGCTGGAACGTGACTCGTGCGCTTCGTCTCGCAGCTCTTGCTCCCGTCGCTGTATTTCAGCGAGTCTCGGAGCAGCGAGCTGGGAGAGGGGAGCATCTCAGGTGGCGGCGGGAGGAACTCAAAAGTGTTGCTGGCCTCGGCCCCCAGAGCCAGACTGCAGCCATCGTCCAGACTGAGCTCAGCCAGGTCCGGCTCCAAGGAGCTGTCCTCGCTGCTGGTTCTCCTCTTAGCGCTCGCATGCTTGCTACTTCCAATCCCTCCACCTCCGACCTGACCCCCCACAGACACCCCCTTCCCACCGCCCTGCGTCAGTTTTAGTTTACCTCCAGAGGAGGTAGCTGCTCCTTTATACACACACTTCCCTCCGCCGTCCTCCAGGGACAGAGAGACGCTGCCTCCCAGGCGGACCACCATTCCTCCCCCTCCGCTCAGCGACAGACCCTTCCTTTTAGTCAGAATGGTCTCCTTCGGTCGCACAGCCACCTCCTGTGAGTGACCGCCTCTTCCCTTGAAGTCGCTCATAGCCCCGCCCTCCGCTCTGCCCCCTCCCCCCGAGTCGCCCGGCTCGCCGCCGGCTCCTGCAGCAGCTTTGATCCCCCTCTGGAACTGCATGGCCCTGGGCCAGCAGAACGGGTTGCTCTTTTTGTCTGTGCTGCAGTAAGTGATGCCTTCCAGAGGATAGGCCGCCTCCCAGTTGAAGTAGCAGGACTCCACGGCCGGCTTGAAGCCTTGAAAAAGTTTATCCAGTGATTTTCGATGTTGTCCCCGTTTCACTATCTCTATAACTTTCAGGTGCCACTGCTTCAGCTGGCTCGCCAACTCCAGCCGCCTGGAAGAGAGCAGACTTACTTTCAACTCTCTAACTCATCACCATYACAGATGTCCACTAAAAATGATTATACTGGTATTAATAAAAGTCAACTGTTAGACCAAAGCTGCGAGCAGCTGGGTGTCAAAGTTCTGACCTGCAGGGGCTCATTGTGGGATCGAGTACCGCCAGTCTCCACAGAACCACCATCTCATCACACATGCTAGCACAGGCGTGAGCCGCCACCTCCGACTGGCCGTTGCTGCGCCCCGTGTGGCCGCTGGCACTGCTGTGGGACGCAGACGTCCGAACACTGTACCACCAGCTGATGATCTGAAAACACGAACAGCGCGGTCAGGTGTATGTCACAGAAGGCATGTCTATGTGTGGTCGTCTGCTAATTGCTAACGTTTTAGCGGTTTTGTTGCGCTGAAGCTAAGTGGTTTTTCTCTCAATCTACACTTAATTTTCCATAAACAGAAGGTGAAAACAGAATCCTATTTAATTTTGCAAACTTATTATAAAGAACTGAAAAATCCAAACGACATGTTTCAGACCCTTTGGAAGAACCTTTAACAGAAGTTTGGCCTCAAAGATCTTAATTTAATACAAYAAGCTTTGCTCAGCTGGCCTGGTGGATTTTCAGTCTTTCTTCTAGAGTTGGGCAGTAAGTAGTTACATTTACTTGAGTAACTTTTAGGAAAAATGTACATTTAGGAGTACTTTTACTACACTACATTTTTACTTTTACTTGAGTAATTTTATTATGAAGTATTACTACTCTTTCTTGAGTAAARTATACTTTACTCACTGTGAATAACTTCACTGAATGAAGAACAAACTTGTTTTCACTAAACATTCCCCACACACAGAAACACACCTGCAGTTTTTGTTTGTTTCACAAATTTTATATTGGAAGAAACTGATTTGGATTTTTTTTCTTGCCTGAATTTGTTATTTTGTAATTATGTTATTTATATGAATTATTTTAATTTGATCTTTAAAATACCAACATTTCCACATCGCTTTATATTTTGGTTTATCTCATGATATAATTTTTAAATGAGTGATGTCTTGATGAATACCCTTTTTTACTCGAGTCATTTCTTGGATGGATACTTTTTTACTTTTACTTGAGTAACAATATGCTGAAGATCTTGCTGTACCTCTTAGACGAAGTACATTTGGTCAGAATTCTTTTTCAGTAAAAGCTTCACTTGATTGGAATAAAATACCAGAAAGCATAAGAACCAGTGGATCCATCAAATTATTCTCAAATGCCTTAAAATCATGGCTCGTGGATAATCAACTGTGTAGACACAGAGTATGGGATTMTTTTGTCCATTTTGTATTTTAAATGTATTGCCTTGAATTATTGTTGTGCTAAACGGCTTTTTATTATTTTTAATCATGCTTTTTGTTATATTTTTAGGATTTTTTTTTAATGAAAGTAACTTGTTATTTTGTATGTATTGTATTTATATCCATAGGACCTTGAGGGACTACAGATGAAAACTAGCCTCCATGGCTAATTCTGGCATTTTCTGTAATATGCATTGTCCCTTCTTAAATAAATAAACAACAAACAAACAAGTAGTGCTACTCTTACTTGAGTACAATTTGTRGGTACTTTCAAGATAAAAAAAATAATTAGTATGAAATTAGGTTTTCACTTTTTATTTTTTAAATACTAACAAGTGTGAATTATTGAGAAAAAAAATATGGCAACTGGTATACTTTGAGGAATTTCACAACGACCTTTAGGAACTGGAACACACTGAAGTTGTAGATACTTGTCCTACAGGATAGTTAAAGACCGTTCTGTACATTATGTCTTTTGTACATTTTGTTCCCAGAGACTGTTGTGGCCCAACATATTTCAGTCCACCAGAAAGAAAGATCCTCCACTGACAAAAACTAGTTTCAGCTGAGACAGACCACACAAATAAAGTTMTTTTTCTACAAACTTCCAGTATCAGGCGCTCATATTACAGCCTATCATAGAATACCTGCTCATAGGTAAGGCACTGTTCAGTGAGGATCTCCAGCAGTGGGGCAGCGTTGCTGTCTCGCCTCTTAAACATCTCCCTGACGATGGACAGGAGGTTCCAGATGCCCTCTGGCTCTCTGCCCCTCAGAGGGCGCAGCAAACATGCCCACTCTGCAGCTGCCGGTGGCTCAGTGGATGACAGGTACATGGAGTTTACATCACTGGGGATAAAACCACACAAAGCACTAATCTTAGCAAAGTAAGAAAATATCAACAAGGAGAAGCTTAAAAATAGAAGAAAAGAAGAAATATATTGAGTGCTACAGTAATGCTTTGGTTAGTTTGATGAAGTGAGGGGAATTTGCCCCACTGTAATTAGTCTAAGATTTATCCAAACATTGGAGTATAGCGCTGAAACATGACCAGAAGCATGAAGGAGCATGTACCTGAAGACAACAGGTGAGGGCCCACAGAACTTGTGCAGAGTCTTTTTGATATTATCACTAAGAGTTGATTCATCCAAGTACCAGGTGCTTTGGTCAGATGCTGAAGGACCTGCTGTTGGGTCTGTAAACATACAATCAACCAATCAATCAATCAATAAATAAATAAATAAAATGAGCATTTTTTACAGTGAAAAAAACATTAACTTGTAGAAGCCAACTTGCAAAGCTTATAACCTGAGTTCTTCAGAGCTGCTTTCCACATTTACACTTATTAACATTCCGTCTCTTAAAATGTAATCTGTGAATTGGCACAAAACTAACAGAAACCAAAGAACCTGTTGAACTACTGGTGAATACGTACCATCTCAGTGTTTTGTGTTTTTAGCTTCAAACGTTATTGGCCTTGTTTAAGTTATGTTGATAAAAGCTAAATCTTTATTCAAATTAATAGAAAAAAAAGTTGTTTTTTGTGTCGTGCTAACCCTCTCAACCATACCTGGAGCTCCACACACAGTGTTGATGGCAGTCGACTGAGAGGACAGCAATTCGTCAAGCAGCCGCTGCGCTGTTGGTAGAATCTGGAGACAGGTGAAATAATAACATCTGAATGTGTTCATATGGCATACAACAAACTGTGCAAGAGTCTYAAGCTAAATCTTTTGTTTAAATGTTGTTTTTAGGAAGACTTCATAACGAGGACTACTGTCTTCATAGACTGAATGATTCTTGTGGGAATGAGAGGTTTATTATATATTCATACCGTCTTAAAAAAAAATCAATAGATGCCAAAATACAGCCCATCCCTTAGGAGGTTAAAGGTTAAAGTTTATGACAGGACATTTGGAAAAAGACTGAGCAAGCATGACTTGTTTGGAAGAGTTGAAGCAGAAAGTCTCTCTCGAAAAGAACATCACAGCCTGACTTAAGTTTGCAAAGTTGGATCTTTGTACGTCTGTAAACTTTCTTTTGTCCTGCCCATAACTTCTGATCCGATCAAGAAAGTACTATCACTAGAAAGCGTGCCACGTAATCTTTATATCATTCAAGCTTTAAGGTCAAGGTTACAAAACAAAGATTATAGGTCTTCACTTGTCAGGACCACCGATATAGATTGCTGATAATAGTTTGTCAAAAGGTACATGATGTTCCGTTAGTTGTACTCGTTTTTATTACGTCCTGGTACTTTAAAGCCTAGATTTGAAAGAGAATAAAGCCAATACATGCCAAATGTACTTTCCACAAGCATAATAATACTTAATTTTTTTCTTCTTTGCAACCTGATTTATAAATGTTATACTATGCTATACTATATACAAGTGAAATGTCCAAAGAGAACAACTTGGTCAGGTTATGGATATTACCTGCTGAGGCAGCTCACTAATGAGATACTGGGCAAACTTCTGGAGCTGGTCCCTCTGTAGTCTGGACAAAGACTCAGAAACTGGAGCCCTCAGACAAACTGCCGATGCCTGCATGTGTGCACACACACRAACACACCCATATCAAGATGTACACTTGAATCACACACTCACTGCTAAGCATCGACGCTAAAAAACGTTAACTCTTTAATCTGCTCATAATCCACATCACACTCTTTTAGTCTAATATAGTGTAAAGTTCTTGCATGTCACTCACGTTGTGGATTCTGAAGAGGCAGAGCGCCACCACGTGGGCACACCATTTTGCCCCAGCACCACAGGTACAGCTGCAAGACGTGATGCGGCACCGGTCAAACATGACCGCCACATTGTAGGCTCCTTTCGACTGGACCGACTGACTGGAAACTACTGTAGCACTGAGATGAAAGCCTGGTGGAAACATTTACAGGAACATGGAGGAACCGAGTCAGATACAAAACAAAGCAGCTGCTTAATCTGTGCATTTAACAAACTCAAAGGTATGATYGAGTAATTTACATTCTGTTAATATAAAGGCTAAAGTCGTGGAGGTGAAAGAGAACCTTAGACAAAAGAGAGGATGTGAAATAACTAACCTCGATCTGGTAGATTGTTACAGTTAGAGGCTTATTATTAATTTATTAATAGTTAATTAATTAGTTTAGTTTAATGAATGAAGACAATAAATGAACCTACCAATCTGAAGGGGATCTTTGACAGCTCTGATCCTGTATAGCTGCTCTCCACGCTGGAATTCATCTGGACTCCCATTAGCCAGGCAGGAATACAACCTGCAGTAACAATGAAACAAAGTCAGTTTATCCACTCTGGAGTGACCATTTACTCATTTATTGTGGGAGARGAGAAGCACCAGTAAAAGACTGAATAGGGATAAGTCTTCCACTTATCCCTGGGCCARGTCCTCCGGGGAAATCCCAAGGTGTTCCCAGGCCAGCCCAGAAACAATACCTCCAGCATAACCTGGGTCTTTCTCTCTGTCTCCTCCCAGTGGGACGTGCCTGGAACACCTCACCAGGAAAGTGTCCAGGAGACGTCCTAACCAGATGCCTGAGCCACCTCAACTGGCTCCCGTCAATGTCTTTACTCGGAGTCCCTCTCATATGATCGAGCTCCTCACACTCTCGAAAGGGGAGCCCAGAGGAAACTCATTTCAGTCACTTGTACCATGAGCTCGTTCTTTCGGTCACTACCAGAAGCATGTGACCATAGATGAAGGTAGGAACRTAGACCAGTGGATAGGTAAYGTAGAACGTAGAGAAAAAAAAATAGTCATCACCCATTTGTGTTCATATGTCTATATTGTAAAGAGTCTTTACGTCTAGTAAAAAAAATTAAAGCTTGGTCACAATGGAAGTCATTGAGGGTTTGGATGAGCGCACTCAGTTTTCTCACAAATCAACCCACCCCCCGTGGCCTGAGTCTTGCAAAATGCCTATGCTTTGATGTAAAAACTAAAGATAGAGTTTCTCCGAGTAAAAATAATGTTTGCAAAAAGATCAGAAAATTTAGACAGCTGAAAAGTCAGAGTGTGACACCAATAAGTTAAACATTTTTCTGTAGAAAAAAATATATACACTGTTCAAAAAAATAAAGGGAACACTTAAACAACACACGCTAACTCCCGATCTTAATCAATGAAATATTCGCATTGAGTACTTTGTTCTGTACAGAGTTGAATGTGCTTCACAAAAGTTTGATTTATTTGGACTTAGCGTGCGTTGTTTAAGTGTTCCCTTTATTTTTTTGAGCAGTGTAATATATGTATATATATAAAATAATTAAAATTTTAATCTTTACAATGTGAAACATGTCTGAACAACAGAGCTTCAAATTAGGCTTTTTAGCTTATTTATTTATTTAACGGGTTTATTTTATCAGGGTTATCAAATCAGCRTTCCAACAAGAAACTGTCCTCAGACAGACGGATGAGGCTCTTTAATAAAGTTGTGTCCAACCCTGGTCCTCGAGGGACGCTATCCTGCATGTTTTACTTGTTTCTCTGTTCCAACACACCTGATCGATTCAGGGATTGAATTACTTCTTCTTGTTCTGTGGGAGCCTGTTAATAACCCATTTATTCAAATCAGCTGTGTGGGAGCAGAGAAACCTCTAAAACATGCAAGACGGTGGGTCAGGAGGAGGATCAGGGTCGACCCCCCCGATACAAAAAGAACTGACCTGATGTCCTCCTCGTTCTCAGGGAAGCTCCAGAAGGCGATGCGGAGCTGGAGCTGTTCTGGGACTGGAGGGTAAACTTTCTCCACCACCTCAAATGGGATGTGAAAGGCCACCTGCTTTGCTGATAACTCAACCAGCGGGATCACCTGACCGTCTGAGGAAGACCACAGACCAGAGGAAGATATGAAATACATTCAGTTTATGACATTTAATCATTCAAACAACAGTCACTTTATCCAAAGTTCAAGCTGAAGGGCAACATTCAAACATCAGTAGTTTTATCCTGATTCCCAAATAAATATTTTTGGAAGCAGCCTGAGTCTGCGGTTTATTAAATGCCTCGTGATAATAATTCCACACTCACTGATTCAGTGCTGTAGATAAATTTAACACAATCTGCAGCCCCTCTGTAAAACCTGCTGATGTCAAGTTTACTGAAATGAACCAGAGTAAATGTGAAACACACTGAGGTGTAGAAGAAAAGGAGGATTTTATTGYCAGTTTCAAGTAAAAAATGTTTAAGGAAAAAAAATGGTCAAATCTAATACAGAATTAAATTGAGCTCATTGTACTCCTGAACTTTAATGTATTTATGATTGTAGCAGTAATTACTGCTGAATTTAGAGGACATCCTTCAGTCCTTCACAATAAAAGCTTTAAATAGTGTTGRCTCTTAAGTCAGCTGAAGCTTTTAAAAAGTTTTCCAGTAAAACTCWTTCATTTTGGGGATTATGAGAAGCTTTTTACGGCACAAGATGTAAATTAGGGTTTGTGTGCTGTAAGAACATATTCCAGCATTGTAACTGTATTCTGAATAAAATGCATGGCATTAGGTCTTTGCACCAAAGCTGATTTGTTTTTGATTCCCCTTCTAGTTCTAAAATAACTTTAAAAAAAATCAATTTTATTCTGAGAAGTGACAAAAAAAAAGCCTTTTTTCTTTTGCGTGACCCCAAAATTATATCATAACTCCTCCCAGACACATTAAGTTCAGTTTTTTTGAGTTTAGATTCTGTTGAAAGGTTATAAATAAATAAACATCTTACAGCTATTTGAACAACTTCACTTTGGAAACTGAGTTTAATCCTTACTGAAGTGACCAGCAAATAGTCTGAACTTTACAACAATAAGATTTTCTTTTATATGACTCTTTGCTTTGGTGACCCCTTTTAAAAGCTTTCAGGAGGCACCCCTGATAACACTTACACACAAAGCAGCAACAAATGAGGTGTCAAGCTGTTATTTTGTGACTACAACCAGAAAAGTTTGGGAACTACTACAGGAGGAACAGTTTGTATGGTGCAGCAGGTCTTTCCCCACCTTTGATCTTGACAGTGGGGGAGTTTGGACCAGCGGACTGCTTCCTCCATCCTCTCCAGTTCTGACAGAGGCTCTCGGCCTCCGAGATGAAGGAGCACAGAGAGTCTTCCTCGAACCTGTCCGAGTCTTCGAAAGAGAACCTCTCCCCATCCTCCCACTCGGCGAACATCAGCTCCATCGCATCCACTTTTTTCTGCCCCCCCTCCTAAAGGCTTCGGAGTCCAGAGGACTGCAACTTTAAAGTTGAGGCCTCTAAAGTCTGAAATGAAATGGTTGTAGCTGAACCAGAACACAAAAGAGCCCAGGAGAGACTCAAGACTAGGATAAGGGGGGAGACCACTACTGAAACACAGCTGAGGCGAAATGGGCCTTAAGCTCCGCTACATGACAAAAAATAAAAAAACAAAAAACGCCACTTTTTACGTGTCCATCCGTGACTAAAAACTTAAAAAGTCAAACTATACATGATAGATTAGCTGTGCTTTCTGTGGCGATGACACGGTCATTAAGAGGTATTTACGTGTACAAAAAAAAAAGTAAAAAGTTTTGACAACTGCTGCCTCTCGAGATAAAACCTCACCGCTTTTCTCTGTCGAAATCATCGAGTTTTTCCTTCAACTCGTGAACCAATCAMCTGCGCCGCTCTAAGTCGAAATAACCACTTGTCACCTCTCTGGAAACATCCCGTTTTGTGACAAAACGCTCTACAGCTGCGCCGCTGTTACTTTACAGCTGCCAAAATGTTTTATATTGTTTTTGTCCAGCGATAACGCGCTGAGCTAACGGAAACGCTAGCCAAAGCGCTAAGTTAGCTAACAGATGCTAAGTGTGGAYAGCACCAACAAACGTCGCCTGCTACATAGATTAGCAACAGTGACACGACATGTAGTATTATTTACATTTCTTCAATTTGCTTTGTCTTCGTTCCTGCTAATAGCTTAGTGGTGCTTGTTAGCACCTGAATGCTAACCCTGAGCTAGCTTATTTAGCCGGCGTTTGTTTACATGCGCTACTGATGTTGAGCACTCTCCGAACTCCTAACGCATAGAAGCGATTCAATGTCGCCTATTTTCAGTAATWATATAAGTTACAATCAATTCATATTTCTGTAAAAAAAAAAACTCCTGCTTTTACCCCCCTTTGTTAATAGTATAAGCGGCTTTTGTGTCCGACGCTTGCAAAATCCCTCTTGTCAGATCTGCTTCTTCTTCGCCATTTCCTCCGGTTGCCGTCTTTTAAAACTCATCCATCCATTCATTTGGCAATGACACCCCCATATATCCCCCCCGCTGGGGTTCCTCTCGTCGAAAAGCTCTCAGGGACTATTCAGTCTGCCGGGGGAAGATGGCTCACCTTTCCTTCAGCTCTTCCTCCATCAGCTGATCCCAACTTCCGGTTTCAGGCCGGAAGCGAGATGCCGCACAGATTAAAAAAAAAAAAAAAAAAAGTAGAAACGAATGAATAAATAAATGTAACACTATAAAACACGCTCGGCTTTGTTTTTCCATACTCCTCCTAAAAACTTTTGAAAAACCCACAAAAATTCACTAATCTGAACGATTTTATCACTTGGTTCGTGAGGACGAAACTCACAAAAACAAAAATTTCCACATATAAACGACATTTTCGTTGAAACGACTTAAGTTGTTTATCTCAGAAATATTTCATTCAAAGYTCAACCAGGTGACACAGTCAGGCTTTACATGACACCTTCACGAAATAATAGCAAGTATCATTTTCTTTCAAGTTTGTCAAAAATCTCAAAAGATGTCATATAGTATTTTTTTTTTTGTTTGTTTGTTTCCTGGGAAAAAAATACAGGACATTACTTTAGTAAATTGATAATATACAGAATCAGTGAGCTTTTTAAAAAATTCTTTGGTATTTTATAAACTAATGTCCAAATCTAATTCAGTTTTTATATTAAAACGTACACATTTTTGTCTCTCTCCCCGCAGTGTCTCACTACTGTGAGACCAGTGGTTTCCTCTTTAATCTCTAAAGAAAAACCCATCCAGAGGACCTACTTTTTTTTTCCTTTTCCACCTGGATTACTGAGATGCATCMGGACGTTTTAACTGGTCATTATTTCCTACTTAAAACACTGCAGTCACCTAAAGACGTTTTTGTAAATTTTGGTTCAGGTATGTATTCATTACAACTAAGTTTTTTCATATTGTTTACTTGCCTGTTTCTAAACAGCGCTGTCAGGGAGTGACAGGTTTGTGAGTAGTTCTCTATACTTTTAACAAAATTCATATATCTTTTCTATATTTAGTCAGCTTGTATATAACATGCATATGTTAGACAGTGGCTGCATTGGCACCCTTCATATTTAGTTGTTTTTATTATACAAAAAAGTTATTTTTCTGCTTTTTGAGGTCTGTTTAGCGTCTGTTTATCAAACAATGAAGAGTAACAGAAAAATTGAACAGGGGTGGTGAAACCACACATAAAAAACAAAACAAAACAAAAAAAACCCCAATGTTTGCTGATTTTCCTGCTACTGTAACATTTAGTTCGCTTTTAGATTTTAAGTGTAAGAATTCACTTAAAAATTATAATTTTGTTGAATCTGGCATGAAACTGAGGTGTAGAAAAAGTCAAGGAAGAAGAAGAAAACCCATTATGGAACATTTACATGTTATGATCTCAAAGGCATCAGACCACAAACATTTGATGAGGAGCACAGATGAACTAATCATCGTTCAGTCACTTGTTCACTCCAAGTCAGTAGAGTTCATTTCACGGAGAAGCGTCTGACACTTGGCCATGAGGACTTGGATGGCCTCGGCGACTAAAACATCTGGAGGCAGGATGCCAGTCGACTCCACAGTGACTAGAAAAAAGAAGAGAGATCATGACACAGCTCATTCCCACACCTTCCACAGCAAACAGAGATATTCATCGTTTCCAGGTCCAACCTGTGCCTGATAAATCTCTGACCACCAGGCGATGCTGGGGATCACACTACATACACTGCAGTGTCAGATACGGAGAGTAGTGATGCAGAAGTGCGATGAGGTATAAATAATTATTTCTTTTTTATTTGCCATTTCAACTAATCAATGCAAAGGGCTGTACAGTCAAATAGATGTTAAAATATATAAACTGGAATAGTTAACGTGACTGTCATTTTGATAAGCAGCTGCCTTTGGGCACAAGGTAATGGTAATACACCAAGTTGTTTCCCAACAACCATGGGGTTTTTTCAGGCAGGGATGAAAGGTTCAGTACAGCCGAGGATCTCAAACTGGGGTCTCCGGACCCCCAGGGGTCCGTGAGCCATGCTTTGGGGGTCCTCAAAAAATTTCTATAAATTGTTAGTTTTGTTTTTTTATTTTGAATACTGCATATGTGGAACAATTCATTAGTAAAATAAATATACAAAACCAAACAAACAATACAATTTCCATAGGATCTAGGGGTTAAAATGGGGTTTATGAGGGGGTCCCTGGACGTTTTTCCASCCTTGTAAGGGGTCCCAAGACCCAAAAAGTTTGAGAACCCTTGCAGTACAGAATTTAAAAAAAATAAGATCAATACAATCACATTATGTTTCTGCCATCATGAGCTACTTAAAGATACTTAAACCTTTACATGTCCATTATATAAATATAACTTGAATATGTTTAAGTCAACAGGTAAAAAACAAAGTTTATGTCAGTGTCCAAATAGATACGGACTTAATTGTATACAAACGCTGGTCATAAAATTAGAAAATCATGAAAAAGTTGATTTATTTCAATAATTTCATTCAAAACTGAAACTTGTTTATTATATTCATTCATTAAACACAGACTGATATATTTAAAATGTTATTTCTTTTATTTTGATGATTATAACTGACAACTAATGAAAACCTCAAATTCAGTATCTCAGAAAATTAGAATMTTGTGAAAAGGTTCAATATTAAAGACACCTAGTGCCACACTAATCAGCTAATTAACTCTAAACACCTGCAAAGGCCTTTAAACGGTCTCAGTCTAGTTCTGTAGGCGACACAATCATGGGGAAGACTGCTGACTTGACAGTTGTCCAAAGGTTGACCATTGACACCTTGCACCAGGAGGGCAAGACACAACAGGTCATTGGTAGATGCAGGCTGTTCACAGAGCTCTGTGTCCAAGCACATTAATAGAGAGGCGAAGGGAAGGAAAAGATGTGGTAGAAAAAGTGTACAAGCAATAAAGATAACTATCCTGGAGAAGATTGTGAAGCAAAACCCATTCAAAAATGTGGGGGAGATTCACACAGAGTGGACTGCAGCTGGAGTCAGAGCTTCTAGAACCACACAGACGTATGAAAACATGGTTTCAGCTGTCGCATTGTGTCAAGACACTCTTGAACAAGAGACAGCGTCTGAAGTGTCTCACCTGGGCTGAAGACTAAAAAGACTGGACTGCTGCTGAGTGGAACGTTATGTTCTCTGGTGAAAGTTAATTCTGTATTTCCTTTTGAAATCAAGGTCCCAGAGTCTGGAGGAAAAGAAGAGAGGCACTTCATCCACGTTGCTTGAAGTCCAGTGTAAAGTTTCCACAATCAGTGATGGTTTGGGTCCATGTCAGCTGCTGGTGTTGGTCTGCTGTGTTTTCTGAGGTCCAGGGTCAACACAGCCGTCTACCAGGAAGTTTTAGAGCACTTCCTGCTTCCTGCTGCTGAACTACTTCATGGAGATGCAGATTTCATTTTCCAACAGGACTTGACTCCTGCACACAGTGCCAAAGCTACCAGTACCTGGTTTAAGGACCATGGTATCCCTGTTTTCAACTGGCCAGTAAACTCACCTGACYTTAACTTCAYAGRAAATCTATGGAGTATTGTGAAGAGGAAGATGCAATACACCAGACCCAACAATTCAGAAGAGCTGAAGGACACWATCAGAGCAACCTGGACTATCATAGCACCTGAGCAGAGCTACAGACTGATCCACTCCATACCAMGCTGCTTTGCTGCAGTAATCCAGGCAAAAGGAGCCCCGACTAAGTATTGAGTGCTGTACACTCATACTTTTCATATTCATACTTTCCAGTTGGCCAACATTTCTAAAAATCCTTTTTTTTTTGTATTGGTCTTAATATTTAAAATTTCTGAGACCCTGAATTTGGGATTTTCATTAGTTGTCAGTTATAATCATCAAAATTAAAAGAAAAACATTTGAAATATATCACTGTGTGTAATGAATATATATACCGGTAATACACAAGTTTCACTTTTTGAATGGAATTACTGAAATAAATCAACTTTCTCATGATATTGTAATTTTATGACCAGCACCTGTCTGTAGTTGGAGTTACAGATTTCCAGTTTAGCAATATTAGCCTCCTGCCAACACAGTGGTGAAAGCTATTAAATGGGCAATATCATGTAAAATCAACTTTTTTGAGTTTTATATCATGTTATAATGTTATACTCTCATAAAAAACATGCCCAAAGCCTTGCTTTGACTCATTCATGCATGTTTGAGAAATCCTGCAGCATTTTTAGGAAGCCATGCTGAGGAGCAAAACGACAGGTGGGGACCAGAAACACAGGTGGGGACCAGAAACGCCCCTGGGACGTGTCTTTAAGCCGAACTTCCTCATGGCAGAGCGCCCCCCCCCACACACACCCTGCCCATAACACCTGCAGGCTCTCGGGTGAAATTGAAAGTGAAACCTAAACTGTCTGCTGAGCTCTCAACATTAGTTCTCACTCAGCGAAGCTCTTTTCGGATTCAAAATACCTTTGAGGAAATGTATTTTCAGATGCCAAGTAAACTGCATCATAGCGCACGTGCAGACCCCTTTCAATGCTTCCTGATGAGCAGAATTTATTTCCATATCCACCCATGATGATCATTTTCTTCATATCAAACCCAAGAATTCAGATTGCTTATATTTACTGTTAACAGTAAAAGGGTTAGATGGTGTCAGACCACAAATTACCCACAAATTCAACTAATAAAATGCTTGAACTCACAGATGAAATGGTCTCGCACTCTCCCGAGCTTCACCACGTTCTTTAGATCAGCGTGTCGGAGAACCTCTCTGCTGCATGTGTCCAGTCGACTGTTAACCACTTTGGCGACCTTTGTTCCTGAGATGGAGAACATTAATTACAAAACATCATTTTAAAGATTTACTACTAATAAAAGTAGTAAAACTTTATGTATACCGCGGACATCCTCCAGGTCTATGACTCCTCGTGAGAAGCAGCGTTTCAGACGCTCTGCCTTCTCTCCCTCCACCGGCTCCAGCAGCGTGATCTCTGGGAGGAGGCGGTAACTGGCTGTTGCCACTGGCGAGAACTTTGCATGGTCCTTAGCTGAAAACCAAACAGAACACACATAAGGTAGGGGTGCCTATTTTACGTCTGCAGAGGCCCGGTAAGAAGGCAGTGGCTCTGGCAAGTTCATCTGCATCATCTCATCTGCGCTGACTGGCATCAYCCAACACTTCTTACCGATTCCTTTGACGCAGTGCATGACTATGTCCAGCTCCTGTCCTGGGCGTAACTGAGCTATCAAGATGTCATTGTGCACTGGTCGGATACAGAAGTCTGCAAACACATCCGCCTGGTTTCCWAGAGGAGTCCACTGTATGTCCTTGGAATAAACTGACAAAAAAATAAGGGACGTGAAACAGACAAGGACAGAGAGAAAACTGTTAGTGCATAAATTCAACATCTGAAATCTGAATTAYTGATTCAGTCACAGCACAGAACTGTATACTGACACTAAAATAAAAGCACTTTTCAGTTTKTAAGACTGTAGTCGGCGCCTAAACGACCCAGAACTTACCCATGTGGTTCAGATAGAGCTCTCGCGGGTCAGAGGAGTCTTTACTGGCTCTGGGATTTCTGCTGCATTTAATCTTAAGCTGAAGCTGAATGGTGTCTATTTCAGAACTTTCTTCCTCTGAAGACTCTTCACCTGGGATTTATCAAATAAAACAAATGTTGTTTTAAATTATTTTAAAAACAAGTTCAGGATAGCTTGGTTTTCTTTATGTTTGACAAAAGACAGCCTTTTTTCTTTTCTTACTGTATGTGAAAATCTTCTAGAGCAAATCAAAATAAAAAACAGGACTGTATTTAACACGTTCTTTTTACTGAAATTCATATAATATATATTTCTACACCAACAGCTCGTWTATTATTGAGTGGAGGAGCAAAGAAACCCCAGCTCTGTTAGGTGCCATCTGAGGAGGTGAATAACTGATTGAATGTACCAGCATTCTTGAACTCAAACAGACGAGGGTCAGCTTTGATGGGGATCAGGCCTAATCTGTGGGCCARGACTTCGTCTTGGACAATAGATGTGTTGTTATAGATGAATACCTTCTCTATAGCCATGGTGGGCACCTGCAAGCAAAAAAAAGGAAAATGTTGGCTATAAATTTACAAAATAAGGTCATAAAATAGGTCATTTGTCTACTTTTACATTTATTTATCGCTTATAAAACACACTGGAAATAAACAAAATACAGGTAAGATACTGAAAGTTTGTTAAAGCGACAGCCTTGAAAAAATTACATTTAATTGATTCAGATGAATCCACATTCCACACTTTGTCTACCATTCATTTACAGAACAGTAAATCAAATGAGTGCACATAACTGTGCAAAAGTCTTGACCCGGCCCACATTTTTTTTAGTTCACTTCCAAGGAGCCAAATCCTATCTCAGGTTTTTAAGGCAACTTTAAAGTGCCTGTGACATGCGTATCCTTTAAATACAAAAAGTCAAAGAAAACACATTCGGTTTCAAGAAAAACCAGACCCTTGTCCTTCACTTTGCTTTATTTGAGGGTCTGGACTCTCGGCTATAGAGAAGCGATTCTTACTGGAGGTGTGGCCTCTGTTGAAGTTTAAAATGACTGGATCAGTTGGCCACAACGCATGTCGCTGTGAAGGAGGCTAAGCTAAGAAGCTAACTGGAAATCGTGTGCGCTGTAAACAAGAGGAGAAAAGTACCGAGCTGAACGAGACGACTGTAAATGAGAGCTGCTGCTTTGTCAGACAAATTTATTTAATTTGGAAGCCTTATCAACATGGACTGGCTTCATTCACTTCCTCCACTGCCATTGCTAAACTAACTAGCAGACACTGCACAGAAAATCATCGTTCTGTTCTCTGATTGGCCCCAACAAAAATTCTCCTGAAGAAATCCCTTCTCTATGGGAGAAATCCCAGACGGAGAAGTGAAGGGAAACTAGAACTGAGCAAAACTGCGTAGGAAGGCAAGGGCCAGGCTAAGTAAATGCTGGTTCTTTAGGATTCATGAGCCAAAAAAAACCACATTAAAACATTTTAAATCTATTGTCCTATATAACAGTGGTTCTCAGTTCTGCTCCTATCCGGCATGTTTTAGTTGTTTYCCTGCTCTGCAGTAAGTCCTAAGTTCTGCAGAAGCATGCCAATCACTCATTGATTTAAATCAGGTGTGTCAAAGCAGGGAAACTACTAAAACATGCAGGGTATGGGGTCGTTGAGGACCAGGGTTGAGAACCACTGCTATATACTATATCTACTACTGACGTGCATTTTAAAGTAGTTCAGGTTAAATCAAACACTGCCTCCTGTTGAACCTCATTCATATTTAATGCTGTCAGATAAATAAATGGGATTTGGAAAGGAGTTATTATATTATAATATGGATACTAACTGAACACACAAAAACAAGAAGACCTTGTTGAATATAAAAGTCACCTCTGCTAGTAATATCCTTCTGAAGGCATTGGCAATGGCAGCATCAATCCCCACCATGTCAAACTCAATACTGCTTTCATCTAGATGCACCACATCAATTCTGAAATTCTGAAAGAAAAAAGAACAAAGAAGAGGAAATATGAGATACACTGAATAGACCAGTTTGAACATTTCTGATTATAAAAAGCTGTAACTCAGAACTGAAGGTTTTATTCCAGGAATAAGTTTATATATA